AAACACTACTACATGGCCAGGGTTAAATGTCTTATCATTACTAAATAAAGCCATAAAGGTCAGAACTTCAGTGCTGATTTAAAATGAAATTCATAAGTTTCAGATACGTGATGATAGTTTCTGGGATGATTATTTCAGGGTAYTGCTGAGATTGCACCGAGATGCTCCAAGTTATTAAAGACAGAGTTATTTGCATTCAGGTCAGACGTAAACACCGCACCATATTGATCTGATATAATGCAAAAACAAGCTTATCTACAAAGTATTTCATGTTATCTGAGATGTGTGATCCTCTTGCAGCACTTGCACAAAATGGGATACTTGTACAGAATGGCAAATCTTTTCTTATTCTGAAGAGGACTTATGAGTTGTCGTCCAGCAGCTTTTCTTTTCCACACTCATAGTTTGACGACACTGGCTTTGATTCTGCAGTCTAGCAGAACAGTTTATTTGAACAATTCACTGCACACAGCTGGACTTTTCTCCCCCCTTTTGCCTATCTGCACCACGCAGAGCTAGCAGCAGAACTCCCTCCCTTCATCTCAGTGTTTGCTCTAATGCCAGATACTCTGCTTTATGGTTTGTATTTGGTTAWGGGGGCTAAGGTGAGCTGGCTGCCCTCCCAGTTGTCATCTACTCGGCAGCAGTTTAACCGGAGCTGCAGTGAATCAAGTCTGAAAAATTACTTCTCACTCAGTAGGAGATAGTTGGGTGTATTCAAAGGACCTTGTCACTTCCAATATGCTTTCAATGAATCTCAGCCATTGCTGATCCAAGCCTTTACGCCACACTTCTGGAAAACCAATGTCTACAACCCTATTCTGCTACCATGTGCAAGGAGATTGTTCTTTCAGAACTCATTACGACTGTGCGACTTAACAGGCTGCAGCCATCGAAATACAGGACGGCTTGTGGTGGCGTATTTTGTGCGCTTTTCTGGCATGCCCACATCTTGTGGGAGTATCAGTGACAAAACAGAGAACAGAGGTAATATTCATGTTGGAGTGTGGAGATGTGAAACAGGAGTGCTGAAAATCTAAAGCTAACAGTTCACTGTGTGCCTCGTGTGACACACAAACTGTTTACGACACCTGAATCAGTGAAGGCTTTCAAATTCCCCCACAAGTGTACAACAATCCATTTGTTATTAATGAGCGTAATATTGGGTTTTAAGAAGGACAATATTTTTACCTCCGCCAAGGGCGAGGTAATATTTTCGGTCGCGTATGTCTGTCTGTCTGTCTGTCTGTCTGTCTGTCTGTCTGTCTGTGGACAATATTACTCAAAAACTTGTGGACTGATTGTTATGACATTTTTACCACATGTGGGTACTGGGCCAAGGAACACACCTTTAACTTTTGGTGATGTTCCGGATCACGATGCGGATACAGGAATTTTTTTTCTTTTAACACTCTGAGATCGGCAAAGCTGTGATGCTTTCACACGGCTTCTGTAAAAAATTGTGAGCTGGATTGGACAGCACGGACTTCAAACTTTATAAAAGTAATGTTAAAACCACATTTAATGATGAATAATTTTTTGCCATAATATGCACATTTACAGAACGTTTTGTGACCAGGAAGTGCGTGACTGCACCATGAAACCCATTTTTCCCGTTTCCACAAACACACCACATTTCCGAAACAACCAATCAAAACAGTTTCTYGCTACTAGGCTTGTAAACAGAGAGCTGCTGGGACTCAAAGTTTGGAGACGGGGGGAGCCAGGAAGCACTTTATAAAGAGTCAAACCATTGCAAACTCATACAAGGAGATAAAACAGACGTTTTACATGGTGAAATGTGACTGATGAAAACTAATGAGCTTAATCCAACACCAGTTTGACGATGAATAACGTCGGGTGACGAGCCTGACTTTTTTTTTCACATTGGACTCCACAGGGAAGAAATCCCATACATACTGCCTGCTTAAATGTTCACTACGTCAGAACTTATTCAACAAATGTGTTTCCATCTCTGCTTTTGCGCATTAACTCTTACAGGATGGGGGAAATTGGTCTTGGCGAAGGTTTGCACTCTCCCAGTGCTTCTAGTTTTAAATGTTATTTGAAGGGGCAATTGTGAGATTCAGCAGGCAGAATGACCCAGGCCGCAGGCAAAAATCCAAAGTGCAAAAATAATATTTATTAAACAAAAGAAGGCTGGCAGGGCAGCTCAAAAATACTCACAAAATCTCGGGGTGGGGGGTGGGGGGCAGCACAAGGAACACAGAGAACACCTCACTGGCTGGTAAGCACAATGAACGGACAAACACTGAAGACAGRACACAGAATATAAAKGTAAACTAATTAAGGACAACAAGAAACACCTGGGRGAGACACAAGAGGAAACAGGTGAGCGTGGGCGGGGCCAGAGCAGGGTACAGACACACAGGGGAACACAGAAACACCAAAAAACCAAGGAAATTAAACACAGATCATGACAGCAATATCATGTAAAATCAACCTTTTTTTCAGTTTTATAAYRTCATTCCCTCATCAAAAGGGAATKAMGTGTTGCTTTGACTCATTCATGCCTGTTTGTGAAATCCTGTAATGTCCTGTGGTAGCCATTCAGGAGAACAAAAATGGCCGGTTGGACCTAGAACCACCTTTTAGGTGCAGCTCCTCCTCTTGGCCGTGTCTTCAAGCCGAGCTTCTGCATCACAGAGCTCGCCTCCCCCGCGACTCCTGCAGGTTATCGGCAGCGACAACTAGCAAATAAATCCCCGGAGAAACTGCACGTTTGTTGAGCTCGTAAAACGAACTACTTCTCAGTCCAGTTCTTTTCGGAATAAAAAAATGCCTTTGAGGAAATGTATCTTCCTTTTAAATACGTGAACCTTTAAGTGACATCATTAATAAAGACCCCCATTTTTGTGGTTAATAGTTTTATATAGAGCTCATGTAGTTTGAGGTGGACACCTAAGGGCGTGGTTAGGAATTGGCCTCTGTCTCTTTCAGAACCTCATACCATTTCTAACACTCCCACTTCAGCACGTCTTCACAATATTATTGTCTCAAATCTAATCTCATAAGCGAGAGCTCGGCTGCAGACTGAGCTCCAGGGAGGAGTTTTGGGTAAATAGGCGGAGCTTTGTACCATCAAGCGTTTAGGTAGCTCCATATGGCACAGGAGATTCAAGGATTTCTCAAACATGCATAAACGATTCAAAGCAACACTCTGGGTATGTTTTAGGGTATGACATCATAACTGCTCAAAAAAGTTGATTTCCCACAACCCCCCCCACCCCGTCCACACACACACATCAGCAGCATCTGTTATGATCTCATATCTTTACAGAGAAGATTTACAGAGAGATTTTTTCCATTAATATTCTCAATTTCAATAATGCTGAAAATTTGCTTGTTTGCAGCTGCATCACAGAAAATGASCATATTTGTAACTAATTCTGGTCTTTTGTAAACACAGGTAAATAAAGCTCAGATAAATGTCACTATTTCTAGACTGTCATACAATATTTCAGCTTTGTTGATCTTTAAATGACTTCATTAATGTTTATTAAATAAAAAAAAACAAGAGAAAAGTTTGTGCAACTTTCGGTTTAACTCAAGATGCTTAACTTCTAATATTTGAGCAACCTCATCTCTTTGAAGTTTTTATTGATATTAATATTATGGATTGTGTTGCAAAGCCAAATCCCACAGCATCTGTGTTGGCTCAGCGTATTTTGGTTTAAATCCATTTCAAAAAGGACGGCCAAAGAAGTTGGAGGAGGTTCTTTGTTGCATTGGCAGCAGAAAAAAGCTAGATGTCAAAAAACATTTCCTCTACCACCCAGTCATTTTGTTTTTCCTCATGCGGGATGAATGAGTGTTATTCCGCTGCAAAGAATGGGCCGTTATATTTTGACATATGGCTAGTAGTTGCCACACTGATGGACATAAATTTTACCTTTGATGAATTCTGTATTTTTTTATTGGGACCAGGAGCTCACAAATGGACCAATTGAAGATAAAAAAGAACAAGAAGCAGAAAAATAGAAGCAAAAAAAGTTTATAAAAGAAGACAAMAAACCTACACAAGAGTGAATGATGATGAAAGACAGGGGTTGAAAGAGCTAAAGCTCTAAAAGACATATCTCCAAGACTTCCATGAAATTCTGTCCACTGGTTGAGAGGAAATTTTTTTAACAAACTGACAAACATAAAAATAATAGATATAAATTTAGATTATTGCCTTCTTTTCATGGCAGAGGGCAACAATGAGGCTTCACAGTACTTAAACAAGCAGAAGAAGAATGCAATCTATCTTTTTTTCCCTGTATAAACAATTTTTCTTCTTTAAATAGCACAAAGGTTTTCAACTAATTTGTCATGGCTTACTTTTCCTGGTTATGTTACATTTTTCTTCTTTGCAAGCCTCTGATTTCGAAATGCCTGAGAGACTCAGAGACCCACATATGAGTTCCATCCATTACATTACATGGTCTTCAGTTTGCCTTTCATAAATACCCATCCCTGGATGYTACTGAAGTGGTCCATTAGGTAAAAAGAGATTTCAACTTTATCAGAAGCTAATTTGAGCTTTTTGATCTTTCCTTTAAACCTAAAATACTCCTAAAGACTTTGAAGAAGCAGTGGTGATGATTTGTGGGTTTGTAAAGCTAAAGCTAACAAGGCAGCTTTTGTCTGTGAAACAGTCATTCAACATTTTTTTTTTTTGTTCAGTTTCAAATTTTGATGTTAGAAAGAAAGCACGAGCGTGAAAAAATTGTGACAGCAACCTCTGACAAGGTTGATAGGTGAAAAGAAATCACGAGGATTGGAGTTTTCGATGTATTCAGGTGTGAATGTTGTCAGAATGTAGAAAAGAAAATATTTTGTAAGCGTAGTTGTCGTCTCCTTCATAATGCTGCAGTTAAAAAGGTTAAGTTCGGGGGGAAAAAGCTATTGAAAGTCCCAGAGTAATTCAAATTCCTTTGCCCTTTTCTGTTTTCTCTGAGCACTGTCTCACTTCGCTTCTCTTTTTCATCTTTCAGAAATTCACTCTGAAGCCCGCAGACCTGAGACGGCCTGAGGGCTCTGACATACACCAAATCCCTGCCCAGGGGAATGGCGGAGATTAAAAACTTCTGATTGAGGTGGAGAGGAAAGAGACACAAAGAGAAGGAGGGAGAGACAAAGAAGAAGAAAATAGCCTAGTGTTTATCTTTGTTCTCCCTAATGCCCCGAGTGAAAGATCTCTATAAGTAAGAAGACACAAAATCTGCTGCCCACAACCGTGGTCAGATGATGGAGTGAGGGAGTGAAAGAGGAGAGGAGAAAGGGATCACATCCTGCGAAARAGCCAAGCTCATATTCTCCTCTAATTGAATGCCTTGGTGAGAGAAGAGACATGAGAGGAAACCTTTTCTGTGACAACTGCTTCAAGAGGCATTGCAATTAACCCTCTGGCCATCATAAAATAATACCTGGCTTTTGTTGTTTTCCCCGTTTCTGGTGTGGATGTGTGCTCAGGCCATTATCATGTTTCAGCCCCCAGCACGTAGACCGGATCAGACCGGCTGTCATAAAAACATCCACATTCTGATGCTGCTGCTGCTCCTTTACGGCTCCCCCAAGGCCTCTCAGGCTGCCAAACCCAAAGGGCCCGGACAAACGCATTTGAACTCCATCCGCATTGACGGAGATATCTCCTTAGGTGGCCTGTTCCCGGTACACGCCAGGGGTCACGATGGCAAGCCTTGCGGGGAGCTGAAAAAGGAGAAGGGTATTCACAGACTAGAGGCCATGCTCTTTGCCCTGGACCGCATCAATAATGATAATAATCTCCTCCCGAACATCACGCTGGGAGCTCGAATCCTGGACACCTGTTCCAGGGACACTCACGCCTTGGAGCAGTCGCTCACCTTCGTGCAGGCTCTGATCGAGAAGGACGGGACGGATGTCAAATGTCTCGGTGGCGGGGCGCCTATCATAACAAAACCCGAGAGGGTGGTGGGGGTAATCGGAGCCTCCTCCAGCTCGGTGTCCATCATGGTGGCCAACATACTGCGGCTCTTTAAGGTAAGAYATCAGCAGTGTTATTGGCTTTGGTAAAAAGAAAAACATAGGAGAGAGAGAAAAARGAAAGAAAACAAGTGATTTATGATGTGTTTGCYGTATTGATCATCACATACACAGTGTTTGTTTGAATAATTAATAACTGAAAAAGAACACATGCTGCTGAACAGTGGGAAAGAACAGTCTGTGTTGATCTGCTGCCACACAATGGATGTTTCCATAACTTTCAAGAGRAGATCTCTTTGTAAATCTCTTCCTYCTGACTGTTGCCCGGAGGAGGCGGTTGCTTAGCAATGGGAGGTATTGCCTGTCACAATACTGGAGTGATTAATACCATTCTTGATTTCATTTTTTTCCCCCATAGCCTTTCACACCACCAGTTTTAGTGTTTACACTCGCACACACTGCAAACAAACGCTCAAAATGTTTTGTTCGTAGACGTTTGGACACCTGATTTTCTATTAACWTTTTTTTAAACCAGTCAGTCACAACTGTAATTGTCCTTTCTAGTTTATTGAAGGAGATTACTAGCCTGGTAAAAACCAGCCCCTTGTTCTACGGTTCGCTTCGTACAGTGGGTCTGGAACCTCGGCTATTGAGAAACAATTTCTTGCTGRAGGCCTGGACTCTGTTGAAGTTTAAAACGATAGGATCTGATTYACCCAGTCGCTAACATTTGGCTGTGTCGTATGCAGTGCGCCAGCTTGACCATAGCCTGGTTAAAACCAGCCCCTTGTCCTTCGCTTTGCTTCATTCAAGGGTCTGGACTCTCGGCTATAGAGAAGCAATTCTTGCTGGAGGCGTGGCCTCTGTTGAAATTTAAAACAATTGGATCGTTTGGCCACGACGCATGCATGCCAGCTCCACTGTGAAGGAGGCTAAGCTAAGAAGCTAACCGGAAATTGCGTGCACTGTAAACAACCCTACCGGGAGGAGAAAAGTACCGAGCTGAACAAGACGACTGTAAATGAGAGCTGCTGCTTTGTCAGACAAATTTAATTTAATTTGGAAGCCTTTTCAACAAGAACTGGCTTCATTCAATGACAGCAGCCATTTATGGGATGTAACTGTAATTTTGAAATTAACCTTGAAATAATTGTATAACCTCAGTGGATTAATAATAATAATAATAATAATAATAATAATAATAATAATAATAATAATAA